AGAAGAAGAAGAAGAAGAAGAAGAAGAAGAAGAAGAAGAAGAAGAAAAGAAAAGGAGGAAAGTAAAAAAAAGAAAAAAAAAAAGAAAGAAACATACGGAAGTGTGAAAGTTGCATTTGTTTTTCTTGCTTGTTTCGAAAGTTTTCGAAATTGTCGAAAGTCGTGGCCCTTGGAGGATGCGAGGGAAAAAGAAAAAAGAAAAAAGAAAAAAGTAGTAAAGGTGAAACGTGGCGTGGACGGCGAGGAGGCAAAAGGCGATGGTAAAAGGGCGACGACGCCGATCAGAAAACACACGATTACCAAAACTATTTTCGAAAGAGGAAACTTCGTTGATTGACAAGTCGATTATTATATCCAGCGTGCAAATATACCAACTGTTCTGTTACTCGGCAGCAGGGAAACATTAAAAAAAGAAAAAGAAAGAACGAAAGAAAATGGCGCCAACGCCGCGAGCGAGATAATTTGAAGTTTCCTCGAGTCGCAACACATAATAGGCACTTGTGTACAGAATTTTTCGTAGGTTGCGAAGATTTCCATTAATAAACTCTGCACTTGTCGGCTTTGTGAAATTAAAGTATTGTTGTTTGATTTACGCATAAGCTGTACGTTAAGGACAAAAAAAATTGCTTATAATTTAGGATCGTGTAACGTGTGTTAGCGAAGCATGCTTCTAAGTAGAAAGATAGGACAATGCTATAACAATAATTATATTATAATTAAAATGAATTAAGAATATAAGGCATTTAATAAGTGCAAAGTATTTCTTAATAAAAGTACTTCCAAAAATGAGAGTTTAGTGCCCAGTTTATTTCTTAGCCCTTGTTACTATTATTAAAATTGTCTAAAAGTAGAAATTGTTAGAAATATATTATATATTGTACGCGACATTTCTGACACGCGTTGTGACGCATTTTCACGTTGTCACGTTATCACCATGCACGCTGTTACGCTGACTACACCGGCGACGAGGCACACACACCTCCACGGTGGTGTTGTCTCCACAGCGGTGGTGTGTCGAGACGATGTGTGTTGAGAACGTTCAGTCGACGTTCTGTTTGCCAGACAAGGGAAAAATGCAAGTACTCGCGAGCCGTGGTATTTCCTCCTTT